CAGCCTGCCGGCCCCCAGGCCCAGGTGCCAGCAGAGCAGGAGGCAGTGTTTATTGGGTAGGGATGGGCACAGAGCCCAGTGAGGGGTCTGAGGGACCCCAAGGGAGCCTTGGAGAGGAGAGGAGGTTGGGCCAGGGCAGCTGAGAGGTCTCCGGCAGCTCCTTTTCTTGGGAAGAGTATTTTTTTACTAGTAACTTCCCTTGGAAATTGGAAACCCTGGACGCCTCCCAGGGCTATAATAAGGCCGTGTCCACTGACCAAGTTAAAAATAAAAGGTCCCCACCCAAGGGCGCTCCGGGCTGGGCGGAGGGACTGTGTAGGCTGGGCGGGGGTAGGACCTGCTCTGTGACTTAAGGCATGTGTCTGCCCTCTCTGGTCCCCAACAGCATTAGACTGATGATTTCCAAAGACCCAGTTAATGGGGAGATTTATATGGCTGGGCTGCCGCTTTAAGGAGGCTGTAAGCCAGGAGAGGGGCACTGTCTGGGGGTCCCTGTCCCTCAGGGTTCTCTTGGGAGGATACTCCCACCCCAGCCCTGAGCTGGAAACAGGAGAGGCTGGAAACACTGGCCGTCAGCGCCACCTGGTGGCCATGAGTGCTCATCGCCTCACCTGAGTCCACACAAAGGAAGCATGCTGTTCTCTGGGCCAGGAGACACATGTGCCCAGGTCAACCACACTGGCTCCCCTCCGTCCACAGGAACCCTCCAGGAACCCTCCCTGACACCCCCCAGAAACCTCTGTGTGCCCATCACACCCAGGACTACCCAAGTTGTAACCACCTAGTCTTATGTCTGACTCCATCACAGAGCTGTGAGCCCCGAGGGCAGGAACAGTCTGCTTTAGTCAACACTGTATCCCCTGAATCCGAAACCAACCTGGTATACAGTAGGTGCTCAGTATATGCTGTTTAATGAATAAATGAATGCACTGCCTGCCAGCAGGCAGGGAGGAAACCTGGGAGCAAGAGGACGTTTTAAAGATAAAACAGACTTAAACATAATTCGCATTAATTTATTGAGCACCTCCTGTGTGCCAGGCACTGGGATCCAGCAGTGCAGTCAACAGACAAAATTCACATCCTCACGGAGAAGGCAGGTGACAATGTGGGCAATGAACGAGTGACTTATTTTGTCCAAAAGCACTAAGTGTGATGGAAAAATAGAGCAGAGTCAGGGGGATCTGGTGGGGTGTAACTGTAAATGAATTTTAAATGGGGTGCTCAGAGAAGCCCCCATTGAGAGGGTGGCATTTGAGCAAAGATCTGGAGGAGGTGAGGAGGGAGCTATGGGAGGGTTTCTGGCGGGAAGGACATTTCCCAAGCAGAGGGAACAGCCTGTGCAAGGCCCCTGGGGCAGGAACCAGGGCTTTTGCAGGTTTGGAGGATTAGTGAGGAAAGCCTGTGTGGCTGGAATTGGGAGTGAGGCGAGGGGTAGAGAGGGAGAAAAGTAAAGGGCCAATGAAGGGGATAGGAACAGGTCCTGCAGGGTCTTGTGGGCCTCTGGGAAGGTTTGGGCTTTTTCTTTTTTAAAAAATATATTTTTATTTATCTGAGAGAGGAAGGAAGAGGGATAGAAACATCAATGATGAGAGAGAATCATTGATTGGCTGCCTCCTGCACACCCCCTAATGGAGACCGAGCCCACAACCCAGGCATATGACCTTGACCAGAGTCGAACCTGGGACCCTTCAGTCCGCAGGCTGATGCTCTATCCACCGAGCCAAACCGGCCAGGGCAAGGTTTGGGCTTGTATCCTGAGGGAGGGAGTTGGGGTCCCTGGAGGGCTGTGGGCAGAGGGGAGACATGACTAACTTGGGTCCTCTGGCTGCTGCAGGGAGAACACACTGTTAGGGCAGGGGTTGAACACAGATCAATAGAGCCTCCGAAAGGGGAAACTGGGTGGCTGGGGACAGGGGAGAGAGGGCAACTTTATCCAGATTCCTCTTTGGTGCCTTTGAATTTTGAACCATGAGAATGTATTCCTTGTTCACAGGACGTAAACTAAGACACATCTGTTGATTGTGCATTTGTGAGTAGTGCTACATTGATGACTGGGGAGGCTTGGGGGAGGGCGGGGGGAGGAGGTCTGTCGCCTCCTCTGTGTCTCACCAGGCTGGGCTGAATACATAAATTTGTGAGATTCAGATGCAGCCCACCTCCTGTCCCCCGTTCTGCCCAAGCCAAGCCACAGCTGCACATGTGCTGACACTGGGTGAAGCTCCTGTGGGCCCAGGGGTGGGAGAACATCTGTAAACTATCTCACCGTCTCAGAAAGACATCGTTCCAAGCAGGGACCCAGTACTGACCTCCAAAACCAAACATCTGTTATTTATTCACATTTCACAGTTTTTAAAGGGGAGAATTTTCAAGAGAATTTCCCTATTTTTCTTTAAGACTGGCCCAGCGGGGACATGAGATGTCCCCAGGAAACACCCAGGCCCACGGTGGCCACCAGGGGGCGCGGGTGCAACAGGGATGATAGCTGAGCCCCCAACTCTGGGAAACTGGCCCTCCTGCCTGGAGTTGCATGTCCTACATGGCCGCCCCTCAGGCATTGGCTGTGCTCTTTTCCCAGCCCCCGGCTCATTCCTAAGGTCTTAGCTTACTGCCTCCTTCCAGAAGCTTCTCAATTCCCCCCGGCGGACCGAGGGTCCCTTTTGGGCTCCAGCAGCCGTCTACATTTCCCCATCACAGTCTGTCTCTGGCTCTGGGCCATACACACTGAACGGACAGAACAGCATTGTCCCGGGTCACCTGCAGGGCGACCACTCAGCCATCACTGGGCCCTCGGGGCCTGCACAATAGGACCCCAATAAATGTTGGTTGGCTGAGCGGATAGATGAATCGACATTCTCCTCACTCACTGCAGGTAACGGGTCTGTGTACCCACAGGCTCACACTCAGCAGGTGCTCGGTAACTGTCAAAATTACCACCCATTTAACACGTACCATGCCCTGTGCTGGCTTCTGAAAACACCACAGTGACCAAGACAGATCTGTCCCCAGCCCTCTCAGGGTGGGCACATGTGGTGGAGAAACCATGAATTAACACGTAATGAAATTAGCAAAAATATTTCAAAGAATTTAAAAATCAAGACAATGAATGAACAGGCTGCTCCGTTTCTGTGTGGGCTAGAATTTAAGAGACCCCTGGCTCTTCCTGCTGCTCCTGAAGGTGACTTATGTGCTGTGTGACCTTGTACAAGTCACCTTACCTCTCTGGTCCTGTCTCCTCCTCTGTAAATTGGGGACAATGATAGTCTCCCGTTCCTGGGGCTGTTGGGAGGATGAAATAAGCCCATCTGCCCTAGTCCTCTAGCTGCCACCCTGGCCCCATCCGTCCTTCCCACAGCAGCCCCCAGAGGGCGCCTGTGAGCCTTTGTCAGGTCCTGGCCCTTCTCAGCGCCCAGCTCTCCAGGCGGCCACCTCCCTTGGTGGGGTGGGGAGCAGTGGGATCCAAGTCCTCCACGTAGCCCACAAGGCCACACGGTTGTACACAACCTGCCTCTCCTAGACGTCACCTCCTCCCTCCCTCCCTCCCCTCCAGCCAGAAGGGCCTCCTAGCTGTTCCTCCAACAGGTCAAACATGGCTTGCCCTAGGACCTTTGCACTGGCTGTTTCCTCTGCCCGGATCGTCCCCACCCCAGCCCACGCAGTTTTTTCCATAGCCAGTTCCGTCTCTTCCTCCAGATCTTGGCTCCAACACCACGCCCTCAGAGAGGCCCTCTCTGGCACCTGGGCCAAAGGTCCTCTCCTGAGACACTCCCACCACTGGCCCGGTTATCTTGCTTCCTTATTTGATGACTCACTCACTATTCCCCTCTCCTCCACCTCCAACTGCACCCGCTGCCTGGGAAGATCCTGGCAGGCCCTCAATCCATGTTGGTCAGATGAGCCAAGTATTCCCTGCCACTGTTGTGATGTGCAGCTGGCTCTTACCTCCAAAACCCCGTCCTGCCCCATGCACCCCAGACCCTATCTCAGGCTTTCCTCCCCCAGGTTTCACTTCATCTTTCTGGAGGCTGGGAGCAGAGCCCTCACAAAATCTGAGTCAGCCACTGAAAGCAAGTGGGGAATGACAGCCTGGGTGAATCATACCAGGCCTGCCCTCTGGGGCAGCAGGCACTGAAGGAAAGGGCATGCAAAGTCAATGTGCAAATCAGACAGTGGGGTGAAGGGGGCCTCCCGCTATTTGGCTCAGCTATTTGGCTCAGCCCCCCCAAATTCGCCTCCCTGGGCTCTCCCATCATTTCCTCCCTTGGAAGTTTGGCTTCTTCAACTGTAATCTCCCCAGATCCAATCCATGACTTTTGAGACCAGAATTCACCTCTTTGGGCCTCAGTTTTCCCCATCTGGACAATGGGCCCAACCATAGAAGCTTCTACCCCCGGAAGTCGTTTGGGGAGATTAAAATATGCTTAGATTTTTAAAGCCCCCAGAATCGTGAAGTGGGGAGTGCTCGACAAATTCTATTCTCAAGAAAAGATGACTCCCCTCCCTGTCAAGTATGCAGCTAATAGCCCTTACACTGTCCCTGGGGTTGCAGTGTTAGGAACAACTTACTGATGACCTTGAAACACAGGAATCAAACCCACTCCTGAGAGGTGAGGACACTTGCCCCAAATCACACAGTGGGATCTGAGCCCAGCCTTGCTGAGGGCATCAAGGCACACTCGCCACACACCCCCGCCCCCAAAAGCGCTGCAGCCGGAACTGCTAAATACCCCCCACTCTCTTTTCTCTCCATCTCCTCTAGTATTAGAAGTAGTTTTAGTAAATAAAGCCCATGGCCCCTCAGAAGACTGCATTTCCCAGTTACCCTTGCAGCCGGAAAGGAGCCGTGTGACATGCTCTGCCCAATGAAATCAGTAAATACCGGAAATTTCCGGTTCACGCCATTCATGAGGAGAAGCCTGTTTTTCTCTTCGGTTTCCCTTTTTTTGGACAGTAGGCATGTTTTTATCTTTACAAATCGCCTAGCAGAGGCGAACAGCGCTAGAGAAACATTCAATAAATATTTATTATCATTAAAACACAGTGCTGCTGTCCCCGGCCCATTCCCTGCCACCATCATCCAGACAGTCTGTCAACACCAGGTCCAATCCTGGCCTCCCCGAGAGCCAGAAAGTCATCGGGGCCCATTTTGCACCATTTCCTGGGGCACAGAGGTGTCCCCAGCCATGTCCGGAAAGTAGCAGATGACCCCATCTCCTACTGCACCCCCTGAACACGGGGGTGGGGGGGTCTCCAAGATCCAGCCCGGAGCGGGTCTGAGGTCAAGGTCCTCAGGCTTTGCCACTCGGTCATTCCGCTTCCTGGGTCTGATCCTCGGGCGCCGGGGCCCTTCTTTGGTTCCACATGTGGTTGTTGAGCCCCAGCTGCACCATCTGTGCGTGGTGGATGATGAGGGGCTGCAGCCCCGGGCTCTGAGGGGACACAGGTGAGGCTTGCGGGAAGACCGGAGGCTGCGGGAAGGTTGGGCTGGGGGTGCCAGCCAGCCACGGAGGCAGGGGTGGTGGCTGATAGCTGGGCCAGGTAGGAAAGGGTGGCTGGGCTCCCAGGGGCCCCGGGGCCCCAGACGGCAACTGGGTCCCAAATGTCATGTGGCTCGCGAAAGCTGCCTGGAGCTGCTCCATCTGCGCCTGCCAGGCCGCGTAGGTCTGGACGTAGGTGGCGTGTGCAGCGCCCACCGCGGCCGCCCGCTGCCGCTCACCCTCCAGGTGCTGGCGCCGCTCCCGCAGGGCGCGGGCGTCCTGCTCCTTCCTCCAGTTGGCCTTGCGAGCCCGCAGCTTGTGAGGCTTGAAGGTGTTGGCTACTTTTCTGGCAAAGATCTGGGAGTGCTCGTCCAGCCACACCAGCCCGGTGAGCAGGCTGGCCGTGTCGGGGCTGAGCTGGGCCAGGGAGCTCTCCAGGGGCAGGAACGGGACCACGCAGTCCTGCCACCCTGGCCGCGTGAGGCTGCTCATCAGCGACTGGCTCAGCTGGTGCTGGCTCAGGCAGCAGTCGAAGTTGGCAGTGAGCAGCAGGACGGTGAAGGCCGAGTGGTCTATGGCGTCCTGCAGGCAGCGCAGGCTGCTGCGCCCAGGCACCTGGAAATCCTCGCAGAAGGTGGCTCCGTCAGGCACACCCAGGGCCTCGAACTTCTCCCGGACACGCAGGGCAATGTGCTCATCCGCCTTGGCGTGCAGGACCACGAAGTTAAAGAACTGCTGCTCTGACGGCTCGAACTCGGGAGAAGGGGGACACGGGCTCGAGGAGGAGGAGGCGGGGTGAGCTGAGCGAGGAGCCGATAGGGAAGGGTTGGGCGGGGAGGTCTCAGGGGCAGAGGAGGTGGGTGGGCACGGCTGGGCTGGTGGGGAAGGAGTATCTTCCACGGGAAATTGTAGTGGCACCTGGTCCTCGGCGGGGCCGGTGTTTCTGCAGGGCGAGGGGAGAGAGGTGGGGGCCGGTGTCACTTCCGTACATTCCACTGGGTAGTGGGTGCTGGTGCCTGGAGCCTCAGCGGCGTTGGACGGGCCAGCGGGGCTTGCATCTAAGGCCTCCTCAGGCAGCCCGGGGGCTGGGCTATCGGAGGGCACGAGGGTGTTAGCAATCTCCTCCGACGTGGGCCAGCTCATCTCCTCGGGCTCCTGGAAGCCTGCGGGGACAGGCTCGGGCTCCGGGGGCTCATCGCACAGCCTGCTGGGACCACGGGGGCTGTGGTGCTGGCCGAGGAGGGCCATGGTGGGCGACTGGCTAATTTCCAAGCTGCTGGCCAGGGAAGCCGGGCTGCCGGTGGACCGGAGGGAGCAGCCTCTGCTCCAGCCCAAGGGGTCCTCGATGGGCTGAGGATGGCTGCGCACCACAGAGGGCGAGGCGGAGGATGGCGGGAGGCAGCCCAGAGCAGAGTGGAGCGGCTGGAAGTCCCCCGGGTCCCCCACGATGTCCCACCCGCACCGGTTCCGGGCCTCCTCCTGGAGCTCCCTGAGCCGGGGGTCATCCCTGGAGCTGAAAACGTGGAGGGCTGCCCGGTAGGCCGCGTCCCGCATGGGGGCCGGGCACAGCTTCTCCTCGGCGAGCAGGTGGTATAGCCGGGCCACGGCCCAGGATACGTCGGGGGGTTCCTCCGTGGCCTCAGCACTGCTGCCCACGCCGGCCCACTGGCGGGCCACCAGCCGGGCCACCGCGTCCGCCTGCAGGGCCTCCAGGGAGAGCCTGGCCTCGGTCTCCTGGCCCAGGGTCAGGAGCACCATGGCGTGCAGCAGGTCCGCCCCCCGCCGGCCGGGGCGCAGGGTCTTCAGCTTGTGCTTCAGATGCAGGAGCTTGTCCTGGCCTGCCCTGCCCAGAATGCAAAAGGCACCGGAGAGCGACGGGCCCGTGCCGGCCATGGGCAGGCTGGGTGCGGCCTCCGATGGCAGGAGAAGCGCTGGCTGGTGGAGGCATGATCCACACCCCTGCCTCCTGCACGCCCGGCGTCCCCTACCCGCTCACCATACCGGACTCCAGGGAACTATGGGAGCAGACCTGTGGGGAGCAGGAAACACATGGTCACCACTGGGGGCGGGGGGTGGGGGCGCCTGGGAAGCAGCCCAGACACGCACCTGCCTGCAGAGGCCACCATGACCTCTCCCATGAGGAGGACCCTGGGCAAGACGTGTCCCCTCCCCCAACGTGTTTCCTCCTCTTGCGAGAGGATCTCAGCCGCCACTTGCCTGGCGTCACCCAAGAGGTAGATACTGCTATCCCCCATTTGCAAATGAAGAAAGTGAGCCAGAGAGGTGGAGTCCCTTGCTCAAGTCACACAGCCAGTGAGTGACAGCTGGGATTGGAACCCCAGCCGTCTGGCTCCACAGGGTGTGTGCCTGACCGCCAGACTCCACTGCCTACGACGGTAATAAACCCACTTAGATGGTCTCGAGGAACTGAGCTGTGTTCCTGTATGGAAAGTTCTGGGTCCGCTGACTGGAAGTCAGCAGGGGCTCAATACGTGTTTGAGAGGAAAGCAGTCCGCCTCCTGGATGGCCCCGGGAGCCCCACACCCTGGCTTTCCCGGCCGTAGGCAGTCCTTCCAACACGGCCAGAGCTGATCTGATCGAGAGAGAACGGCAGACGGGATGGGGTGTCACTCATGACATTACGTTAGAAAACACACTGGCTTTCTTCTGAATCACTCTCTTGATGTTTTTATTTTTAAATATATTTTTATTGATTTCAGAGAGGAAGGGTGAGGGAGAGAGAGATAGAAACGTCAATGATGAGAGATAATCATAGACCAGCTGCTTCCTGCACGGCCTCCACTGGGGATCGAGCCTGTACCCCGGGCATGTGCCCTTGACCAGAATCGAACCTGGGACCTTTCAGTACGTAGGCCGACACTCTATCCATTGAGCTAAACCAGCTAGGGCTCTATATGTTTTTACTGATTTTAGAGAAAGATGAAGGGAGAGAGAGAGATAGAAATATCCATGAGAGAGCAACATTGATTGACTGCCTACTGCACGCCCCCTACTGGAGATCAAGCCAGCAACCCCAGCATGTGATCGAACCAGTGACCTCTTAGTTCATGGGTCAATGCTCAACCACTAAGCCACACTGCCGGGAGCCGGTCCATCCTTGCTGCTTGACAGTCGCTGAAGGGAAGAAACATCTGCACAGCATATGTTTCAAGGGACCTGGAGTATATGGCATACTGTTCTTAATATGTTTGCTCCCCTTCTTGGCGCTATGTGTTTTAACCAAGGTCACCTCTCCGAGAAAGGTTGTTTCCCCAGGTAGGGATTTTTCCCTGAAGTTAGGGAGGGAATAAAACCCCTTAACTAAATGCCAGGCAGGTAGTTAATCACTTTAACTACGAACAATCACCCTTAAGCTACATAATCTTTACTCCCTGGAATGGAGATAAGAAACGCCCTAACCTTTGGAATAGAAATTGATAGGATTAAAATCAACTGGTATAAATACAGATGTAACAAGACAACAGAAGAAAGAACCTAGAGACAGAACCTAGTAAGAGAACATGGCAAAAGATCCTGGACAGAACCTGGCTACAGAACTTGGCTGGAGAACCTAGACAGAACATGGCGGGAGAACCTGGATAGAACCTGGCTGGAGAACCTGGCTAGAGAACCTAGCAAGAGAACATGGCAAGAGAACCTGGACAGAACCTGGTTGGAGGTCCTACACAGAACTTGGCTGGAGATCCTGGACAGAACTTGGCTAGAGATCCTGGCTAGGCTGCTGATCAACTGAATGCTGTCTCTGTGTCATTCCTTCATCGCCGACTCCGTCCACACCTTTGGGGACCCCTGGACTTGCTGGGGTTGGACCCCAACACCACACCAGCCGGGCTCAGTCACTCTCTTTTTCTATCATGTGCCAGGGGTAAACCATGCTATGAGCAGCCCTGTGGAGGGGCCTACAGGGCAAGGAACTGAGACCCCCTGGCACCAGCCACACGGGGAGCCGGCTTGGACTCCAGCCCCATTGACTCCAGCCCCAGGCAAGTCTTCAGATGAAGCAGCCCAGCTGACAGCTTGACTGACCTCATGAAAGAATCCGAGACAGAACCACTCACCTATCTGCCCCTAGATGCCTGACCCTCAGAAACTGTGCGAGATCCTATGTGTTTGTTGATTTTAAGCCACAGAGTTCTGGGGTGATTTGTTACACAGCTGTATGTAGCTAACCGATACAAATAGCATTATTAATATGGTGCACTAACCATCACTGCATGCTGGCTCTACGCCTAACAGCGTTGTCATTCCATATGGAGGCCATGTCCTCTTCTCTCTATTTCTCAAAAATGCCATGCTGATTCCCACTTCAGGCTCTTTGTAGGTGCTGTTTCCTCTGCTTGGAGCACCTTATCCCCAGACCTTTGCCTGGGGGACCTTTCTCTCAAAACTCACTCTCAGGTCCCATGGCATCACCTCAGGTACCGTGGAGCCCTCCACCACCACATAAGCTCCCATACCAGTCTGTCTCTCCCTAGCACCCATGATGAGAATCTACAGCCTAGAGCAGAGCTTCTCAACTGGGAACAACTCCTTCCCCCAGGGAGCACTGGGCGATGTCTGGGGACATTTCTGGTTGTCAATACTCTGGAGAAAGTGCCCTATCGTCATCGAGTGGGTGGAGGCTGCTCAACACCCCACAGTACCCAGCACAGTACCCAGCACAGCCCTCCAGAGAGAATGATCTGGCCCCAAATGCTGCTGAGTGCTGATTTTGAGGGACCCCAGTCTACGATTCAGGATTTCTTTTCTTTTTTTAATATATTTTATTGATTTTTTTACAGAGAGGAAGGGAGAGGGACATAGAGTTAGAAACATCAGTGAGAGAGAAACACTGATCAGCTGCCTCCTGCACACCCCCCACTGGGGATGTGCCCGCAACCAAGGTACATGCCCTTGACTGGAATCGAACCTGGGACCCTTCAGTCCGCAGACCAACGCTCTATCCACTGAGCCAAACCGGTTAGGGCTGATTCAGGATTTCTTAACAATCCATTTGAAGCAGACGTCATATGGTCCCACCGGGCACCAGGGCCAGGGTCGGTGTACCCAGGAAGGTCAGCGCAGGGCAGAGAGAGCATGGGGCGTGCTGGCCTCCAGGAGTGGGGGCACAGGGGGCATGACTGAGCAGACAGGAGTGGTGCAGAGCAGAAAGGCACCCTGGGAAGAAGGATGTAAGGAAGTACGCGGCTGCCTGGCTGTTTCAAAAATGGAAATAGCCTCACATGTTGAAATGCTGATGGGGAGAAGGAAATAGCAGAGACCCAAACGGCGGAGCTGACTTCCTAGTGTGGGGGACAATCAACAGTGAGTCTAGTCTGCTACCACCAGGACTGGTGCATAGTAGGGGCACAAGTCACTCCTTTTTGGCTAATTAAGAAATGTTACAAGCCCTAGCTGGTTTGGCTCAGTGGACAGAGCGTCGGCCTTCGGACCAAAGGGTCCCGGATTCGATTCCTGTCAGGGGCACGTACCTCAGTTGCAGGCTCCTCCCAGGCTGGGCCCTAGTCAGGGCACATGCAGGAGGCAACAGTCAATGTGTTTCTCTCATATCGATGTTTCTCTCTTTCTTTCCCTCTCTCTTCCACTCTCCCTAAAAATCAATGGAAAAATATCCTTGGGTGAGGATTAAAAATAAATAAATATAAATATAAATATAAATATAAATATAAATATAAATATAAATACAGGCAGTCCTCGGGTTACGTCAGACTCCAATGTACTTCGTTTCGTGGTTACATCACCATCTCCCATTTATTTATAAAAAAAAAAAAAAGTTCTGTCATTTCGACGTATGTACTTATGTGCTTCATGTTTTTTATTATTTATTTACCACAAGTAAAGGTCAGGAATTGTTATCTTTCTTTTAATTTTTTTTTACTGTTTCGCTTCATGACTGCTGTGTATGTGCTCCATGTGAGTGACATAGGTGCTTATGCAGGTGGGTTCCGACTTACGGCGAAAATCGCCTTCTCGCCGTAGGAACGGATCTCCGACGTAACCCGAGGACCTACTGTGTATATAAATGTTACAAGACCTGGAAGGCAAAACATAACCAGACTGCCTCGGAAAGATGTATAGGAAACCGAAGGGACCGTTATTCAATAAGTGTTTACTGAGCACCTACTACGTGCTGGCCCCTTCCCACGCCAGGCCGGTGGGGAAGCTATCTGAATCTACATTTGGCACACACTCCTGGGACCTTTCAGTTTTTGCTTATTGTCTTGGCTGTGGGCTCCATGAGGGCACTACTTGGTCCCTACTGTGTGCCCAGCATACTGAACAGTGTCCCCTGGCAGACAGCAGGTACCTCATAACCGTTTGTTGGAGATTTAATGTTTGCCCCTTTTTCAAAGGAGTAAACAGAGACCCGAGCAGTTGCGGGAACTTGCCCCACTCACCTACCCACCCCCAAACTGTGGAAGCCACACGGGAGCCCTCCAGCCGGCCTGTCACACTGGTACCCCCTCCCCCAGCCCCCTGCCTCAGCCACCTGAGAAGGAGGACAGACCTGTCCATCCGCCTGGGCTCGATGGCCACCGCCTGGGGCTACCTGGGCTCTGACTGGTGCCAGTGCCAGCGCTGGGCAGACTTGCAGCGGCTCCTAGTGCCAATCCCGCAGGCCCCGCGGAAAGGGATTCGAGGGGAGGGCCCGGAGATTCCCGATCTCAGCTGGCCCAGGGTGGGCCAGGGATCTACCGTGGGAGCGGGGTTCTGGGGTCCCTGGGAAAGGTGGGGATTCAGGGCTCGGAAGGGGCTGAGAGGAGGCCCAGCGCTCCTGGGGCAGGAGGTACAGAGGCTGGGACAGAGAAAGCTCTGAGATTTCGGAAGAAATCAGACACACGGGGGAGAAATGGGAGTGGGGGAGATCTGGAAGGCTAGGAAGAGATCTGGGGGATTGGGAAGAACGCAGGGGAGTTGGAGAGAAATTCAGGGTGTGGAAGAAATGGGGGGGTTGGGGAGGACCTGAGTCACCAGGAGGGGAGCTGGAGCCTTGCGGGTGGAAGTGGGGACGCAGCGCAGGGACGCCAGAAGCTCCGAGGGCGGGTGCAGCGGACCTCGAACCTAAGCGAGGAGCCCGGACGTCCAGCCATCAAGGCGCCCAGCTACCAACGTGCGCCCCGCCCCGCCCTTCCCCAGCGGCCCTCGCCCCCTCTCCACTCACCCGGAGCAGCCCGCACCCCTTCTTCACTGTCCCGGGCGGCCGGGGCGCCGCTCCCGTCTCGGGGCCAGGATCTGCGGGCGCACGGCCTGTCGGCGGTGCCCGCGGAGGGCCGAGCGCGGAGGGCGCGGGGACGCGACGGTCCGCCTTCGGGGCCTCTGCCCGCCCTTTCCGGGGCGGGAGAGGGAGGGAGGGGAGGAGGGGAGGTCACGCTTTTCCAGCGGAACCGGGAAAGTCCCCGAGACGCCCCGCCGCGCCCCCCTCCTCCGCCCGGCGCGCTGCCCCGACGGCAGTTTGGGCACTTCCGTTACGCGGCGCTCTGGGGACCACAACTGGGGGACAAGAGGGCCAAAGTCCTGCCCTGGGGAAGGGGGGACAGTCTAGCGAGGGGGGACACAATTTAAAATTAGGTCATCTGCATTCGTGATCGGGACTGCCCAGGAAATAGAACAGGGGCTGGGAAAATTGTAACGGGGGACGCCCCAAAATCAGGAGGGAGGGAATCGTGGCCATCCAGGAGGAGTTTGGGGAAACCTATGTGTTGGGGGGCGGGGGGTCGCAAGATGGCATATCTTGAAGCTGCAAACACAACTTTTTAAGAATTCGCAGGGGCCCTAACTTTTTGGGTGTCCAGCTAAGAGGCTACTCGGGGCCATCATACTTTTAGGGGCACACAAAAGTGTTTTCATTTCTTTTTCTTTCTTTTTTAAAGTGAAACTTTCATTTGAGAGGAGATATCTTTTTTTAATATATTTTATTAATTTTTTACAGCGAGGAAGGGAGAGGGATAGAGAGTTAGAAACATCGATGAGAGAGAAACATCGATCAGCTGCCCGAAACCTTGACTGGAATCGAACCTGGGACCATCCAGTCCGCAGGCTGACGCTCTATCCACTGAGCCAAACCAGTTAGGGCTTATTTCTTTCAAAATCAGAAAGAAAAAAAAAAGAATAGAATTGCAGCCTGGATTATATTCGTCTTTATACCAGTGCTTTTGTAACATGTCATTTATTATTTATTTGTTTGTTTAAATCAGCCGTGGGCAAACTACGGCCTGCGGGCCGGATCTGGCCCGTTTGAAATGAATAAAACAAACAAACAAAAAAGACCGTACCCTTTTATGTAATGATGTTTACTTTGAATTTATATTAGTTCACACAAACACTCCATCCATGCTTTTGTTCCGGCCCTCCTGTTCAGTTTAAGAGCCCATTGTGGCCCTCGAGTCAAAAAGTTTGCCCACCCCTGGTTTAAATGAAGAAAGGGACCCACAAATTTATAAATGCCTTTGTCTGGGCCCCTTTGTCTGCCGGGAGAATCCAGGAGCCTCTTCTGAAAGTAACATTTGTAGATTCATAAAACAACATACAGGGGGGACAAAGGACATTATATTGAAATGCACTTACGTATTTTTTTAAAACAAATTAGTAATCCGTCATCAGATGAATGGATAAACAAAATGTGGTATATCAATTCAATGAACTACGTGTTGTTCAGCCTCAAAAAGGAAGTTCTGACACCTGCCTGCTACAACATGAATGAAACTTGAGGACATTGTGCTCAATGACATATGCCAGACACGGAAGGACAAATACTGTGTGATCCCACTCACAGGAGGTCCCTAGAGGAGTCAGATCCACAGAGACAGGAAGTAGAGGGTGCGAGCCAGGGGCTGGAGAGGGGGAGGGGGAGGGGGAGTTAGTGTTTAATGGGGCCGGGGTTTCAGTTTGGAAGATGGACAAGTTCCAGAGATGAGTGATGGGGATGGTTGCACCACAATGTCAATGTACTGAGCTGTGTCCTTAAAAATAGTAAGATGGTAAGTTTTATGTTAAGTATATTTTACTATAATTTTAAAACTTAAAAAAAACGTGTAAGACAATCACTTTAAAAATACTTTTGAAAGAGAGCTAGACTGAAACACACAACACTTAGGGATACACCTTTATCACCATGTTCACTAAGAAGATCTAATAGCTGCAGTGACGTTGCAAGGGTGATGAGGGTCCGCTGAATTTTGAGCCACCTGCAGCAGTGCAAGCTGATGTGAGAATACCTGTGGTTTTCCATTAGGGACAAAGTCACAGAGCCTGCTGTTGTCTCCTTTCATAATTAAGGAAATGATAAATAGCGGTTAGAGTCAGTGAAAATAAAGATGTGCATTCCCCCCCGCCCCCCAGCAGTTCATGGACTCCCTGAACTCCATCATCAGGTTCCCTAAAAGGTCCATGGATCTCAGGACAAAAAAGTTCACCTAAAGGTTGGGGCAGGGGCGGGGCTGCAAAGGAAGTTATATGGGTGCAAACTCCCCATGGGGCCCTTGCTTAGTGCCTGACTCTGGTGAGGGAGAAGTTTTATTGAACACCTACTGTGTGCTGGGCATGGGCTGGCTTTGGGGATACATCAGGAAGAAAGCAGTGGTGCCTGCCTTTGGGGCTTCTGGAGCTGGAGAGGAAGGGTACATTAAACCCACCTTCCCATGTCTCTCTCCCCCCTGCCCCACCATCACCAACTTCCGGTACCTGCTCCCAAGCCAAACACATCTGATTCATGTCTTAACCTTTCCAGGTAGGTTTGAATGTGCCCATTTTATAGGTGAGAAAACTGCGGCTCAGAGGAAGTAACAGGGCTGGAGCATGCTGGCTTCCAGGGGAAACCCTGGGCTCCAGATGGAAAAATCTACCACCTGGAGATTGCCCACCTCCCTGCTTCAATGAAAGTAGAAACACACTCCAGTTGAGGTCTAGGTTCCCACCCAACTTTCCTTCTTCCTGCACCAGAAAGGTGGCCCTCCACTTGGGTGCCCATTCCTTTAGTTTTGCATGCATATACGCATATCCATTGATGTGATACTTATTTTTAATAATAATGATTTTTTAAAAAAATTTGATTTTGAGAGAGAAACATAGATTTGTTGTTCCACTTATTGATGCCTTCATTGGTTGTTTCTTGCATGTACCCTGACAGGGGATTGAACCTGCAACCTTGGTATATCGGGACGATGCTCTAACCAACTGAGCTACCTGGCCAGGGCTGATAAGTGTGATATTTAGTGTTCTGCAGTCTGGTTTGGCTTTATAATTCATATCTTCCAGAAGCCAGCAAACTTTGTTTCCGTAAAGGATCAGATAGTGATTATTGTCAGCATTACTGACCAGACCATCTATGTTATAACTATCTGACGCTGCCCTTGTAGCAGTCACAGATGTATCAGTAAATGAGGGTGGCTGTGTGCCAATGAAACTTTATTTAGGAAATCAGGCAGCAGGCTGGACAGTGGCTGTAGTTCACTGACTCTGGACACAGATGGCATCAATATTTAGCTTTATTCCATTGACATCGCTAACATTTTTCTAATCCACCATATGTAGCCCAATCTTGTTCTTTGGAAGTGTTATGTTCTCACTAAGCATGGCTGTATCACAATTTACTGAGTCCCCTGTCATTGGACATGCTGGCTGCTTTCACTGTTCCCCAATAACAGGCATTGCTACCTTTCGAGGTGGTGGGTCAGGGTGGGGGGATCTGAGTGCTGAGTTCAAATCCTCACTCTGACACTGACTAGCTGTGAGATGGGCCAAGGGCCAGCCCCCTGAGCTATGCCTGTCTCCCTCCCTGTAACATGGAGGTGGTGACTGCACCTTTCCACGGGGTTTCCGTAGGGCAGCTGCCGAGAAGGGGAACTTCGGGGACTCCTCCTCCAATGTGGAAAAGATACATTCTCGCTCTTACTAAATACTACTGATTGTTCTCCAAATGGGTCCTGTTAGCACTCCCACTGGAAGTGAACAAAGGGCTCATTTCCTCCATCCACACTGCATGTTACTTTCACTTTTTTAATTGGTGTTGAATTCATAGGTGCTGTAGTATATAAATCTTAAATGAACCGCTCAGTGGATTTTTGCATATGTACACAATCCCTGTAGCCAACACGCAGATCGTGATGTAGGGGTCATTTCAGCCTCAAGAAGTCCCCAACGCCCAGCCGGTGTGGCTCAGCGGTTGAGCGTCGACCCAGGAACCAAGAGGTCGCCAGTTCAATTCCCGGTCAGGGCACATGCCTGGGTTGTGGGCTCGATCCCTAGTGTGGGGCATGCAGGAGGCAGCCAGCCAATGATTCTCTCCCATCATCATGTTTCTATTTCTCTCTCCCTCTCGCTTCCTCTCTGAAATCAATAAAAATGTATTAAAATAAAAAAGAAGAAGTCCCTATCCACCCCTTCCTCATCATTACCCACGGGGCAACCACTGTGGGGATTTCTCTCACCATAGTTTAATTTCACCTTGTCTTGAACCTTCATTGCAATGGGACCAGAGTATCGATTCTTGTGTCTGGCTTCTTTCACTCAATATCATGATGAGTTTCATCCATACGGTTATAAATATCGAAAATTTATCCTTGTTCCTTGCTGCATAGTATTCCACAGAATGAATCCACCCTGTTTTGCTTATCTATTCTCTTCTGGGTGCACACCTGGGTTGTGCTCCAGTTGGGAGCTGTTATGAATAAAGTGGCTGACAACATTTGGGGGCAAGTTTTTTGTGTGGACATTTGCATAGCACTTGGCTACAAATACAGGAATGGGGCTGCTAGAACATAGGGGAGGTGTCCCAGTTGCTTTTTATTTTTTTAAAAAAATAGATATCTTTATTGATTTCAGAGAGGAATGGAAGAGAAAGAGAGATAGAAACATCCATGATGAGAGAGAATCATGGGTCAGCTGCTTCCTGCACGCCCCCTACTGGGGATCGAGCCCACAACCCTGGCATGTGCCCTTGACCAGAATCAAACCTGGATCCTTCAGTCCGCAAGCCGACGCTCTATCCACTGAGCCAAGCCAGCCAGGGCCCCAGTTGCTTTTAAAATAGGCTTTGTAAATCCTTGCCCATCAGACCCAGAGCCCTCAGGAGGAAGCAACATTGCCCTGTCCTTGCTAATGAGAAAGCATAGGTCATTTCGGCCCTTAGGGGGCCTGGGCCTGGGCCTGGGCGTGGGAGGGGGGTGGGGGAAGCAAAGGCCCCCTCTCACTTCCATGCCTCAGTTGTGGACAGACATCATGCTGGTTCGTCCCACTGCTCCAGCATCAAGCATCTGCTATCCTGGCCCCAACATCACCATTGCAGTCCACTGCTGGAGATGTGCCCCACCATTAGCCTTCAGCGTGGCACAGTGACTACAGTTACTGTAGCAAAGCGCATTGCAGCTTTTCAATCTTGGGAGGAATAGTTCATCTAAGCAGCAGATATAACAGGAAGCACAGCAGAGGGGTCTCAAGCAGAGGCTGGCAAGCGATTCCTACAAAGCATGGGAGAGTGAACATTTTTGGCTTTGTGGGCCATGGACTTGGCCAAAGATCTTCCCTCTTCCCATCCCACTCTCTAAGATAGAGGGGATGGCCCTAGCAGGTTTGGCTCAATGGATAGAGCCTTGGCCTGCGGACTGAAGGGTCCCGGGTTCCATTCTGGTCAAGGGCACATGTCTGGGTTGCAGGCGCAATCCCCAGTAGGGGGCGTGCAGGAGGCAGCCTGTCTCTCATCATTGATGTTTCTATCTCTCTCTCCCTCTCCCCTCCTCTCTGAAATCAATAAAAAAATAGATTTTTTTTAAAAAGAAAAGCCTTCAGGCTCTGGCTGGGTAGCTCAGTTGGTTAGAGCATTGTCCCAATACTCCAAGGTTGCGGTTCAATCCCCAGTCAGGGCACACACAAGAAGCAACTAATGGCCGAAACCGGTTTGGCTCAGTGGATAGAGCGTTAGCCTGCGGACTGAAAGGTCCCAGGTTTGATTCCGGTCAAGGGCATGTACCTGGGTTGTGGGCACATCCCCAGTAGGAGATGTGCAGGAGGCAGCTGATCGATGTTTCTCTCTCTCATCGATGTTTCTAACTCTCTATCTCTCTCCCTTCCTCTCTGTAAAAAATCAATAAAATATATTTAAAAAAAAAAAGAAGCAACTAATGAATGCATAAATAAGTGGAACAACAAATCAATGTCTCTCTCTCTCTGTCTCTCTCTCTCTCTGTCTCTCTCTGTCTCTTAAATTAAACAAACAAGAGAGAAAAGAAAAGTCTACAATTGCTCATCAGAACAGGAATGAACACAGAAGAGCTGACAGGCTGCTGCCTGTGATGAATTACCCTGTAATTACGCCACCACTGACTTCATGAAACAATGTGGGAAAATGTGTTGAAAGCCACTAAGTTAGTGTTAACGTCTCACATGGCAATAGCTAATACATCCCATTTTGCAGAGGGGAGGGAGCAACGCTGGGCAGAAAGGGGAAGCTGGTCAGCCAAGCTCCTCCAGCAAGTTGGGGTACACGCAGACAGAAGAGAACCCCAACTTGCTTGCCAGGCCCTCATGGGCTGCAGGGCCAGCCAGCTGCCCTGGTCGAAGACCCAGGTTCACTATTGACCAGGAGACTTTGAGCAAGCTATGTGTTTTCCCTCTGCCTCGGTTCCCCAGCTATAAAATGGGAAGATTAGTGGCGGCTCCCCCAGAGGGCGAGATGCGGATGAGGCTGACATCCACCAAGGGCTCAGAGCAGCACCTGACTGACTATGGCTATACTAGCTGAGCATCATCAGTACGAACAGATTTGCTCCCTGCCAGATTGACAGCCCGCTTTGGGAAACCCCAGTGATTCATGTAAGCAAAAGGCAGGAAAATTAGTGTTTGGAATGAAACTAATTCAGTGGTTCTCACCCGGGGGTGTTGGGCAACTTCTGAGGGCACCTGTGGGGTCACGCCTGGGGAGGGGTTTCCTGGCATCGAGTGAATAGGAGCCCAGGATGCTACTCAACACCCCACCGTGCCCAAGACGACCCCCCACAGAGAACGACCCAGACTCAAAAGTGCAATGTGGCCTGAGATAAACTAAGCTTCAGGCTCGATTATTACACAATCTTTGCACCTGAAGCTGGATCTCAGGGGATGACACTGAGGGACAGAGAGGAAAGGCCTCCGCCTGCGTCCCACACCAGGGACCCGTGTCCCACCACTGAGCTGGGGTCAGGCATCGCCCAGACAGCACCGTGCAGCAAACAGAACGAGCAGATTTGTTGCGTTGCGGACGTGGCCGAGGGGAGGCAACCCTGCTCCCCGGCTGTGTGCTTCCATTTTGTCATCTGTAAGGTGGGGACACCTAACCTGCAAGGCTGAGGTGTTTGTGCGTGAAGTGAATGCAACAGCCTGGGCCAGAGTGAGAAATGAGAGGATTCGGCTTCAGTGTTGTAAGCAAGGGTCAGTGGGAACACAGCCAGTGATTACAAGTGGACACGCTGGGTTCTATTCACTGGTAACTTCTTAAAAGAAATATTTTTATTGATTTCAGAGAGGGAGAGGGTGAGAGAGATAGAAACCTCAAGGATGAGAGAGAATCAGCTGCCTCCTGCACACCCCCTACTGGGGATCGAGCCTGCAACCCAGGCCTGTGCCCTGACCGGGTATGGAACTGTGACCTCCTGGTTCATAGGTCGACACAACCACTGAGCCACTGCAGCCAGGTTCGTTGGCAACTTTTACTCTTTGCACCTGGTGGGAGTTCCCTGCAGCTGCTGTAACCAGTGACCACAAACACAGAGGCTGAAAGAACCACAATACTTCACCTTACAGTCCTGGAGGTCAGAAGGCCGAAATGAGTCTTAGGGGCCAAAATCAGGGTGTTGGCAGGGCTGGTTCCTTCTGGTTCCTGCCTTTTCCAGCTTCTCCAGGCGCCTGCATCCTTGGCTCATGGCCTCGCCCGTCCGTCCGCAAGGTGAACAGCAGAGCATCTTCCCATCTCCGCTCTGTCCTCACATCTCCTCCAACTCTGACCCTCCAGCCTCCCTCTCACATAGGACCCCCGTGATGACGCTGAGGGCCCACCTGGATAATCCTGCGTCATCTCTCACCTCCAGATCCTTAACTGAATCCCATCTGCAAAGTCCCTTTGCCATGGAGGTCCTGGGGATTAGGATGTGGACATTTTGGGGGGTCACCCTGCCACACTGTTCCCCACACACCTACAATAGGACGATGCGGGCAAGATCCCGCGCGCCAGGGCGGGGATGAAAGGCCCCTGCACCAGCTCTCCTCAGCAACGTCCAGGACCGCATGTGATGACTGAAGGCCAAGCAAGGGTGGTGGGCACATGGCTGGCAATCATTATGGGCCCCGTCTGACGCACCGAGCGCCAAACTTCAAGTTCGGTAGCAAGTCCATCCCTGTCCCACCCTCGTGAGCAAAGGAAAAATTCCGGCCACAGAGACGCCAGAATTGCTCAGCTGCTGGGAACACACACAGATACACACACATGCCTGTACTCAGCTGCAGATAAAATTTATTAAGGCAACACTGAAGCTCCAGGCACCTACGGCTTCCCAGGCAGGCCCCGCCCCCTCCTGCTCTACAACGCGCCCAGGCAGCCCCTCCCTGCCGCAGGAGGCCCACTTCACAGACCAGAAGTCCAAGTTCGGGACCTAAACACTGAGGTCTGTGGCCCTTGATGTACAAAAGGAAGTGGGATAGAAGAGCGAGATCCCTGGCTTTTAGGGAAGAAACAATATATTTTTTGAAACCTTCTTCTAAAACAATTTCTTTAAAACCTTCTAGAAAACAATTTTTCGGAAACCTCACACCAATGCTGAGGAGGTACGGCTCAGGACATTCTTCCTCCAGGCTCAGGGTGGTCTGTTGGGAGGATCCCAGCTTCCCAGGGCAGTAGCTGAGATGAGCTGGGGGCAGGGGGTCCAGTGCTCCTTGCTGACCGCTCGGGAACGGACTGAGACCCCGAACCCCTTTCCTGCCTATCCTACTTCTTCTCTTCTGGTTCTGGGGCTTTCTCCGCGACTCCAGGGGCGAAGGGTCCCACCACCCACGTGATGGGCGTGTTCTGGGACACATACTCGACTAAGTGGTCAAGGGCCTCGCGGGCCTTGGCGACGCGCTCGCGGCTCTGCGTCAGGATGGAGCTGGACAGGTCCTGGAAGGAATGCATGCCGGAAAAGGTGGCCTGGAGGTCCTCCACCTGGCGGCGAGCCTGCTGTACCTGGTCCTTCACGTGGCTGGGCAGCCCCTGGATGCTGGACCCCAGCGAGGTGCAGGTGGCCTGCAGCTGCTGGGCAATGTCACGCAACATGGTGAGCGTCTGGAACTCGACCTGCTGAGAAGAGAGAGTGGGGCAGGGGGCGATCAGGACCACTGCTCTGGGGAAAACTGGACCCAACGCCAGGGAAAAAGAAAACGGGGGTCCTATCGCCCACCTTTAGGAAACCCTTCCACAGGGAGACCGCCTGGCACTATCGTTCAGAATACCAGCTCTTAGAGTTTGGGGTTTTTTAAAAAAAAATAAAGTTTGTTGATTTTTAGAGAGAGGAAGGGAGAGAAAGAGAGAAACATTTATGCAAGAAACTTCGACAGGCCACTTTCTACACGCGCCGGGCTGGTGATCGAGCCCACGACCTGGGTATGTGCCCTGACCAGGAATTGAACCCTCCACCTTTTGGGGTATGGGACAACGCTCCAACCAACTGAGCCACACCATCCAGGGCCGGCTCTTAAGAGTTTTGAACCGTGAGATATACACAGGTCAAACTGACAAACAGGCACAGACATTTCCCCAAAGAAGACACACAAACGGCCAATAAGTACAAGATGTTCAGCTTCATTTGCCACTAGGGAGACACAGCTCCAACCCACAGTGAAACACCACATCACACTGACGGGGACAGCTAGGGTCCCAAAGACAGAGAGTTCACACTGACGGGGACAGCTAGGAGCCCAAAGACAGAGTTCACACTGACGGGGACAGCTAGGGTCCCAAAGACAGAGTTCACACTGACGGGGACAGCTAGGGTCCCGAAGACAGAGAGTAACAGAGTCAGCAAGGACGGGGAGCCAGTGGAGCCCTTGGACTGGCCAGGGGGCAGTCACTGTGGAAAACAGACTGGTGGTTCCTCAAGATGTGAAACCATAGTTACCATGTAACCCAGCAGTAACTACCCAAGAGAAATGAAAACATCCATCCACACAAAAACCTGTGCACCCGTGTTCATAGGGGCGCTATTCGCAACAGTCCAAAGCGGGAACAACCGGATGCCTACCATCTGGTGAACAGACCATACAACGTGGCCCCTCGCGGGAATATTCCTCCGCTCTGGGAAGGAGTGAAGCGCGGCCCTGGCCGACGCGGCTCAGTTGGCGGGAGCGCTGTCCTGTACACCAGTAGGCGGCAGGCTCCGTTACGGGGCAGGGCCCAGGTTGTGAGCTGGATCTCTGGTTGGGGGGTGTGTGCATATTAAAGAAAAAGAGATCCGAGGCCTGGGCTCTGGGTCGCTCCAACATTCTGAGCTTAGGGAGATGAGGAGAAATCAGAAAAGGGACTAAAAAAAGGGGGACCGAGAAGGCCCAAAGAAGTGGGAAGCAAACAGGTGAGGATGTTGTCCCCAGTAAGAGTCCCCAACTTACGATGGTTCTGAGATTTCGACTGTATGATGGTGCAAGAGCGATATGCATACTTTAAATTTTGAATTTGGATCTTGTTCTGGGCTAGCAATGTGTGGTCCAGTGCTGTCCCGTGGTGCTGGGCAGGGGCAGCAGAGGGTTTTGCCCAACCGAAGGCTAATGTGCATGTTTTGAGCATGTTCGTGGTGGACTGGGCTTAGCTGTGATGTTCGGTAGGTTAGATATATCAAATACATTTTCGACTTACGATACTTTCCACTTACCATAGATTTATCAGGAAGTAACCCACTGTAAGTTGAGGAGCATCTGTATACTAAAACCCACTGAATACTTTAAAGGGGTGAATTATACAGTATGTGCACTATATCTCAATAATTATAATTTTTTTTTTAAAGTACAAGACATTTTTATGTCTCAAAACTGATTTTTTAACAGTTAAAAAAAAAAACAAGTGGTCTGGAAGAATGTTCAAGGCAGAAGTTGTTAGCAGCTCAGATCTGGTCCCGAAGTTCCCCAGCCAGGAAGGAGATAGAACAGCACCACCCTGAGCGCTGTCAGCAACACCCACACCCGAGAGCAGAAAACTAGGCAGGCTTCCCGGAGGAGGTGTCGGTGAGTCCTGAAAGCAGTTAATGGGAGGCGAGGCTGGGGAAGCATTTCAGGCAGGTTGGTCCATCAAACGGGGGTGGAGAGGGAGGCCAGGGCCCCAAGCACCCATGCCCCGCCCCACAATGGATACCTCTGGCTTCGCCAGGCTCTTCTCCGTGCCCTGGAGCTGCTTCTGGTTCCAGTTGAGCCACATCTGGTGTAGCTTCTCCTGACCTTCCACCAGCTTCTGATCCATGCCCAGCTTCACACTTTCCATCTGGAGTAGGACAGAGCAGTGAGACAGGCTGCCTCCGGTGCCTGGCCCAGCTCAGCAGGGTCCCCGCACATTCCCCGGGAGGGGGTTCCCACAGGAGCCTGGGGAGCCCTCCTTCCTCCTTTTATCTGAGATAGCGGAGGTAAGGGAGGAGGGTGCTGTTTCCATAGCTACCTGGTGGTCACACATTTTCTGCAGCTCCTCCCCTTTTGTCTGTTTCTCCCCTCCCCTTGCACTGGGCCTGCCCGCCTCACAGGCTGTGGCCAACAGGTCATGTGCAGATGGAACAGCAGAGGCTTAAAAGTGCTTGTGATGGAACATTATTCAGCCTCAAAAAGGACAGAAACGCTGACAACTGCTACAGTGGAGATAGGGCTGGAGGACATTATGCTCAGTGACATAAGCCAGTCACGACAGGACAGATCCTGATTCCACTCCTAGGAGGTCCCTAGGGGAGTCAGATCCACACACAGAAAGCAGATGGTGGGGACCAGGGGCTGGGGGAGGGGAGATGGGAGTCAGTGTTTAATGGGGACGGAGTGTCAGTTTGGGAAGACGAGAAGGTTCTAGAGATGGAAGGTGGTGGTGGCTGCACAGCAGTGTTGAATGTGCTTCATGCCACGGAGCTGTGCTTACAAACGGTTATGATGGTAAATTTTGTGTTAAGTGTGGTTTACCACAAATAAAAGTATTTTAAAAGAGAGGAGACATCGTTAGCAGAGGGAGTAAAGAGGAAATAACAGTAATTTAGCTCTTTAGGGAACAGAAAAATAAGACCTGGCTGGGGATTTGACTATAAAGAGGCAGGGGAACTGTGTGGGGTGACGGAACTATTCCAAATCTCGATTTCGGTGGCAGTGATATGGCCATTTGTATTTATAAAACTCCTCAAGTGGTACACTTCGAAAGCGGCGGTTTTTACTGTGGGTAAATTATACGTCTATGAAACTGACTTTCAACAAGACACCACAAGAAAAAGGGCTCGTGTGCTCTCACCGCACGTGGGTCCCTCAGACCACGTCCAGGGAGGAGCTGTCTTGCTGAAGGAGGAGCCCACGGGAGGCCCAGCCTCCAGCCGACCTGTCAGGGGCCGAACTCTGTGCCACCCCCTGGCCCTCAGAATGTGACTGTATTTGCAGGTCGGGTTGTTAGAGGGTGGGCCTTACTCCAGGAAGCCTGGTGTCCTTAGAAGAGAAGATCGGGCACTCACAGAGGGATAACCATGTGAGGACACAGGGAGAAGATGGCCATCTGCAGCGAAGCAGACCCCAGGAAAAACCAACCCTGGCAACACCTGATCTTGGACTTCAGCCCCCAGAACTGGGACAATAAGTAAGAAATGTCTGTTGTTTAAGCTGCCCAGACGATGGGACTTCGTTATGGCGGCCCCGGCAAACTCACTCAGGACCACGGCCCATGAACCAGCCCAGGCGGACCACTAGGTTTGGGGAAGGTGCGTGAGCGCTCCCAGGCCGCGGGCGGGGCTCACCAGGCTGAGGGCCTGCGCCAGCTGCAGCAGGGCCTCCTGGGCCCTCTGCCGGGTGTGCTGCAGTTTGTTCACCGAGTGTTTGTAGGCTTGATGGCGCAGCCGCTCCGACAGGGAGCCCAGACGCACGAAGTAGCTCTGCTCCTGCCGCTGCTGCTGCACCGAGGCGACGTCGACGCCCTCCAGGGACGTGGCAAGGTGGGCTGCAGGGGGGAGGCGGGAGAAGCATTATGAAGGCTGGGGTGCAGACAGAGCAAGCAGCTCGGGCTCCCCTGGTGCACACTTCAGAGTCTGGGCCTTGGTCTTGCACCGACTGCCCAAAAGTTTATGCGGGTCTGATGCTTGCAAGCTCTGAGGCCTCAGAGTGAAGGATTTCCTTGCCTTACTTTTCCCCACCTGCTACATGGGTCTGATGAGAACCAAACTTCCCAGGATCAAGAGACCTTAGGCCAGCATGAGGGTCTGCAAACTACACCCTGCGGGACACATCCAAATTGTTTCCGGTTTTGTACAACCAGTGCATACAATTATGCATGTTCATCATATATTGTCTTTGGCTACTTTCAAACTACAACAGTGGAGTACATGGGCTCTTGCTCAACAGAGACTAAAATAATTATTATCGAGTCTTTCATAGAAAAAAAGTCAGCTGACCCACTACTAGTGCCTGGAATATTTTAAAAGTGGCCAATCTTTCACAATGTTCTAGGTGGTTCTTTTGAATTCTTGTCAAATCTTAACGGCTCTGTGAGGAAGGCACTGTTCTCCCATTTTTACAGTTGAGGAAACTGGAGTCCAGAGGGCTTAATCGACTTGCCCAAGGTCACACAGCTCGAAGGCAGCAAATCGGGACTTGAAGCTCAGCCATGTGACCCCCTCTTCTCAACCATACTTGATGAGAGAAGTTTGAGCTACATGAGAATCATCTTAATAAGTCAGTGATAACTAGCCCAGAAAGTGCTCCTGAACTTATAAGACAGAGGATGGAAACTGCCTATCCTGATAATGCTATCCTGCTCCTTTTAAACTTTAACACAGTAGTGAAAAGTTTGCACTTTAGCCCAGTTTGCACTTAGTGACCAGGAGGTCACGATTTGATTCCCGGTCAGGGCGCAAGCCCGGGTTGCAGGCTCTATCTCCAGTAGGGGGCGTGCAAGAGGCAGGCGATTGATGATTCTCTCTCATCATTGATGCTTCTAGCTCTCTTTCCCTTCCTCTCTTTAAAATCAATAAAAACATATCTTAAAACAAAACAAAATACAATTTCACATTTTATAAGTAAGCTGATTGGGGTTTGAATCCAGACTTACTCACTTGCTTTGTAAAGACCTATGGCAGGGAGCCACAAACTATGGCCTGAGCCAAATGCCACCTGCCCTTATAAATAAAGTTTTATTGGCACATAGTCACACACATTAATCTACCTGTCGTCTATGCTTTCATGCTATGATGTCAGAGTTAAGCACTTGTAACAAAGTCTGTGTGGCTCAAAAAGCCAAAAAATATTAATTACCTGGCCTGTTAACAAAATGTTTCCTACCCTGTAGTCTATGCAGAAGTGATTTTGCCAGTAAGCCTGTTTCCCCTTCTGTACCACCACCCAAGCCAGAGTGGCCTGAAGTGTGAAATTTGGACTACCCTGTACTCAGAAGAGGCACACGAATGAATGTTTAGCTATTTTTATTATTTACAGCGGATTATATGGCTTTTTATTTATAGTAAGTGATAAAGTTTCCTTTCTAAAAGAATCAGGAAAAATTGACGTAAAGATGATCAAATAGCCCTGGCCAGTGTGGCTCAGTGGTAGAGCATCGGCACAAAAGGTCGCGGGTTCGATTCCCAGTCAAGGGCACGTACTTGGGTTGCAGGTTCATTCCCGGCCCAGTTTGGGGCACATGCAGGAGGCAACCAATCGATGTCTCTCTCTCTCACACTGATGTTTCTCTCTCTTTCCCCCTTCCTTTCACTCTCTAAAAATCAATGGGAAAAAATATCCTCAGCTAAGAATTTTTAAAAAGGTTATAAAATAAATAGTACAAGGAACATAACATATGACCAAGATAACGTGAGAGATGTGCTCCGGCCAGACCGAAACAGCAGAGCTGTTCTGATGATCAAGTGGAACCTCCACTTAGCCACATATGTGTGCAGATCCTCTGGGTCAGGCACTGTTTCAGTGAAAGACGTGGAAAATAAAGCAATGAAATCCCACTGACCTGTTGTGTGATCAAGGTAAGCCTTCAATCAGAGGAATTCAGTTGTTTTTATAAACATGAAATTCTGGAAGAAACGTACTCTAATGCAGGAATGGGCAAACTTTTTCTGTGTGGGGCCAGACAGTCAATATGTTTGGTTTTGTAGGCTATACTATGCCTCAATTACTCAGCTCTACCATTACCAGGCCAAAAAAGCCTTAGACAAGAATGTAAAAAAATGTGTGTGGCTGTGTGCCAATAAAACTTTATTTATAAAAGCAGGTGGTAGACTAGATGGGCTTTATAGTCAGCTTGGGAAGAGATTCCTAGAAGAATTATTTCATGCTGACATTTAAAAATCTGAACAAAAAAGACATGAGACAATTCGAGGCAGCAAAAATAAAAGCCTTGTGTTGTGAGAAAAATGGATTCCTCCCTATTCTCCCACCAAAGGGGGGTTTGCAAAGACTAACCAAAACTAGCACCACGTTGAACCCTACTGCTGTCTAGAACTTCTCCATGGCTCTCTGGGCGCCCCTGAGCTCTGCCCTTGGAAGTGAAAGCAGCTTGTCATTTAGGCCAAGTATATCTGGCAGAGTCCTGGCATGTCTGAGCAAGCCACAAGGTCCCAAGGAGGGGGCAGGTGCCCTGGGCAAAAGGGAGAACCCTGGGGCGGCGGGGAAGGGCTGTTCTCCTAACCCGAACCCCAGACTAACACACCTAGTTCTTCTTAAAAAATATGTATTTTTATTGATTTCAGAGAGGAAGTGACAGGGAGAGAGAGACAGAAACATCAATGATGAGAATCATTGATTGGCTGCCTCCTACAAGCCCCCTACTGGGGATTGAGCCTGCAACTGGGCATGTGCCCTGACCTGGCTCATAGGTTGATGCTCAACCACTGAGCCACCGCCCCCGGACACACCTAGTTCTAATAAGACACTGCAACAGCTCCTCATACCCTCACACCTACAGACGACCCGTACCTTAAGCACGGTGTGCACAGGAATTTCATCCTTAGGGGATGGGTGCAAAAAAATCAAAGCTGCTCAGACCCATCTGTTCTCGCTGTGGCTTTCAGGCCTGGCTCAAACCCTTCCTCCAGCAGACCCTGCCTTCTCCTCCTGCCTCCAGGGCCAAGGCCCACAGCTGACTCTTACAGAGGCTGAGCACCTACTAGGGCAGCAGGCACTGAACTTGGGGTTCGGCAGGGAAAACATCAGCCAGGTCCCATCCTTCAAGAGGTTCAGAGTTGGGTTTTGGAAACTCAAGGGACAAGTGACATGCCACACTCAAGCCACATGCTGCAGGACTGAAGCTCGCCAGCCCTCCGGAGCTCCCCCGGACACCAGGGACTGCCCTTCCCACTGGGTTCAGGAAGACGCGTGGGATCACGGCTAACTCGAGAGGGCTCCCATCGGCCGAAAACAATGGAACAAATGAAGTGTCAATAAAATTAACACTTCGGGCTGGAATATGTTGTGTTAATCCATGTGCTCAAACCTATAAGGCAAAAACCACTACGGACCCATGGGGGGCGCTGGTGAACCCACCCCTCATGCCATTTTCCCTGCTCTTCCTCAATAAGCTATACCTCGGGGTCATCAAAATTACAGTGGGGCCTTGACTTACGAGTTGTAATTCGTTCCGAGACCGAGCTCGTTAACTCAAATTACTCTATCAACTCAATGCAAAAAATCGGCCGAGAGACAGCTGGTATCTCAAAAAACTCTTTAGTCGGGACACTCGTAAGTCAAGGCCCCACTGTATAGAGAACTTTCTCCACGGAAGTGTTCCAGCTATAGAGAAAGAATGACACTTTTACGAGCGATCCGTGGCAACCCCAAATGGAAAAAGAGACGGAGATAAAGATCGGCTTCACCCATCCGGGAATCACATGGTTCCACATGCTGTATATGAAGTTCCAGAACAGGCCAAGCAGCGATTCTCATCTGGGGGCAATTCTGTCCCCCGGGGACACTGGGCAATGTCTGGGGACATCTGTGGTTGTCACAACTGGGGGTGCTCCTGGCATCGCGTAGGTGGGGACCGGAAATGCCGCTTAGCCTCCCACAGCGCCCAGGGTGGCCGCAGAGAGAGGCCCGGCCCCAGTGTTAGCAGCGCAGCAGTTGGGAAGCCCTGAGGTAGCCCATCTTCAACTTTTTTCTTTCTCCCAAATATTTGGCTCCTCATTCAAACAAACCAGCTCTAGCCAGTGGGCCGGGGCCAAGCTGCCCTTGGAAGGAGCATGGTGCCTCGTTACTTGCAGCCCTCATGGGCTCGCTGCCACGGGCACGGGAAGCTGACAGACTGGCACACTGAAAGTCCCGGGCATGTTATAAAGGAGGCAATTGTTCAAATATGGCATCAAGAGCCATGGGCATGAGAGGACAAGTTCAGACCATGAGCAGGACTGGCTGTTTGGTCTCCAATAGTTTTATCCCCAGTCTGTCTATTTGTCTTCATTTCTACCCCCACCGGGTCAGGCCCCATCTTCACCGGCCTGGACCAGGACAGCTGCATCTGCCCTGGTCTCTCAGCTCCCACCCTTGCCTCCCAGCCTGTCCTCCCAGAAGCAACCACCAGAGGGCGCCTGTAAGCACCTTCCTCGGGTCCAGTGGCTCCTCGGCCCTCACCCCCCATCTCCATCCCCAGTGCTCCTTCCCCAGGGCCAGACCCTTATTCCTCACTTTGGCCTACTTTGCGCTGCAAGACCTGCTCCTGTCCCTCCTCTGCCCTCACTTTCTCTCTCCCCTCTTGACTGTTTTTCCAACACACCAGGCAAGGTCCTGCTTCCCGGCCTTTGCATGGACTGTTCCCTCTCCTGGGACCATTCTCAACCTAGACATCGAGATGGCTGGCTGCCTTCTGCCTCCAGCTCTGTGCTCAAATGCCCCTTCCCATGGGGCCTCTAACAATGCAAACTTCCTCATCCATACTGTGTCCTGAAACCCTCTCCCAGCCCTCCTGGCACGCTGTTTTTTCTCTCAAACACTGGTCACGGTTCTATCATCAATTCTGCAAAGAGGCTTCCATCTTGCTCACTGATTGTGTCCCTGTGTCTAGAACAGGGCCTGGTGCTCAGCAGGTGCTCAAATGCCTGAATGAAATCACCCAGACTCTCCTCTGTGGTTCCCTCCCACCACCCCCATCCCCCTACCCCGACCCCCACCTCCCGGCATTTGTTCCTTTTAAATGTTCATTCAATTGGACAGACTCCCAGGGAGTTGAGAGGGGCCCAGGTTGGGAGGTCCAGGGAGGGGTCTCAGGCCCATGGGCCACACTCACCCAGCTCGGAGTCTGTCATAGGCAGGTGGTTGTCCATCCATTCCTCCGACTTGCCCAACACTGTGTCCACCCCACTTAGCACCATCTGGCCCATGCGGGACCCCATGACCGACTGGACACTGCTGGTCACCACCGACTTGGTCTTGTCCACGCCGCTCTGCACAGCTTCCCGGGTCACATCCACTGCCTCTGTCACTCGGGTGGCCACTGTGTCCTTGGCGCTGGCCACTGCTTCTCGGGCCCCGGTCACCTTAGACGACACGAGCTCCTTGGTATCCGCCAGGACCTACAAGTCAGGCCAGCATCAGCATCTCTACACCCCCTCTGTACTAGGTAGCCCCACGCCCGCACCCCAACCTCCAGGGAGGCCCAAGGGAGGAGTTCCAGCTCCTGGATGACCCCAAAGGGTCAACGCTGAATCCAGTATTGCAGTTAAGACCACTGCTCAGGAGCCAGCTGGCCTGGTTAGAATCTCTGGCTTGATATTTCTTAGCTGTGTGGCCTCAGGCAAGTCGCTCCACTTCTCTGTGCCTCAATCCTTCCAAAGCCACACTGTCTAATGCAGTAGCCACTAGCTATATGTGGCTATTTATATTTAAAATAATTAAAACAAAACAAAATTTGATCGAAAGCATGGTCTGAAAGAGATGGTTGTACACCCATGTTCATAGAAGCATTATTCACAGGAGTCAAAAGGTAAAGACAACCCAAAGCAATCCATCGACAGATAAATGGGTAAACACCATGTGGTCTGTCCAGACAATGGAATATTATTCAGCCTTGAAAAGGAAGAACAGCTCTGGCCAGTGGCTCAGTGGTTGGAGCATCATCCCATGCACCAAAGGGTTGTGGGTTCTATTCCTGGTCCGGGCACATGCCTGGGTTGTGGGTTTGGTGCATGCGAGAACACATGCCTAGGTTGTGGGGTTGGGATACATATGGGAGGTGGCCAATTTATGTTTCTCTCTCTCTCTCCCTTCCTCTCTCTCTGAAATCTGTGGACATAGCCTCAGGTTAGAAAAAATAAAAAGGAAGAACATTCTAACACATGCTACCACATAAATGAACCTTGAATACATTACACTCAGTGAAATCAGCCAGGCACAAAGGACAGATACTATGTGATTCCACTCATAGGAGGGCCCTAGAGGAGTCAGACCCATAGAGTGGATGGTGGGAGCCACAGGCTGGGGGACGGGAATGGGGGAGTTAGTGTTTAATGGGGACAGAGTTGGAAAGATGAGAAAGTTCTAGAGATGGATGGTAAGTGATGGCTACACAGCAATGTCAATGTGCTTAATGCCACTGAGCTGGTTAAGAGGGAAAATTTCATGTTGTAAAAAAACTAACAGAACTTGTACCCAAATGCTCATGGCAGTATTATCTACACCAGTGGTCGGCAAACCACGGCTTGCGAGTCACATGCGGCTCTTTGGCCCCTTGAGTGTGGCTCTTCCACAAAATACCACGTGTGGGCGTGCACATACAGTGCGATTGAAACTTCGTGGCCCATGCGCAGAAGTTGGTATTTTGTGGAAAAGCCACACTCAAAGGGCCAAAGAGCCGCATGTGGCTTGCGAGCCGCAGTTTGCCGACCATTGATCTACACTGATAAAAGAGAAAGATGCAAATTGACCGTACCTTCACGATGCCCACCAGCCAATCAGGAGTATGCAAATTAACCCAACAAAGATGGCAGGTTAATTTGCATACGCAGGCGCTGAGCGGCCGGGGGTGGAGTGGGACACTTGCGTCGTCGCCATGGTGACAACGCAGGCGTTCAGCATCGCCCCAGCCTCTCTGGGCCTCTGGGCAGCGGGGGAAGGCAGAAAGGTGGCTCTGGCCGGAGTGAAGGTGGTGCCGGCAGCCTGGGGAAGGAAGGCCCATTCTTGCACGAATCTTTGTACATCGGGCCTCTAGTTCTTAATAACCAGGAAGTAGAAGCAACCTAAAATGTCCATCAACAGGTGAAAGATAGGCAAAATGTGGTTCACCCACACTGGAATATTACTCAGCCATGAAAAGGAGTGAAGCACTGATACTCACTGCAACGTGGATGAATCTTTTTTAAAAAATATATTTTATTGATTTTTTACAGAGAGGAAGGGAGAGGAATAGAGAGTTAGAAACATCCATGAGAGAGAAACATTGATCAGCTGCCTCCTGCACACCTCCTACTGGGGATGTGCCTGCAACCAAGGTACATGCCCTTGACCAGAATCGAACCCGGGACCTCTCGGTCCGTAGGCCTACGCTCTATACACTGAGCCAAACCAGTTAGGGCAACATGGATGAACCTTGAAAACATGATGCTCAGTGAGAGAAGCCAAACGCAAAAGGTCACATGTTATATGATTTCATTTATATGAAATGTCCAGAACAGACAAATCCATAGAGACAGGAAGTAAATTAGTGGATACCAAAGGTTGCGATGTTTGATGGGAAGGAGAATAGCAGCTAAAGGGTGTGAAGTTTCTTTTTCAGGTGATGAAATGTACTAAAATGGATGGTGATGGTTACAAATTAAAAGTAGCTATTTAAGCCCTAGCCGGTTTGGCTCGGTGGATAGAGCATCAGCCTGCGGACTGAAGGATTCCAGGTTCAATTCCGGTCAAGGGCATGTACTTTGGTTGTGGGCACATCCCCAGTGGGGGGTGTGCAGGAGGCAGCTGATTGATGTTTCTCTCTCATCGATGTTTCTAACTCTCTATCTCTCTCCCTTCCTCTCTGTAAAAAATCAATAAAATATATTAAAAAAAAAAAAAAAAGTAGCTATTTAAGCCCTAACCAGTTTGGCTCAGTGGATAGAGTGTCGACCTGCGGACTGAAGGGTTCCAGGTTCAATTCCAGTCAAGGGCATGTACCTTGGTTGCGGGCGCATCTCTAGTGGGGAGTGTGCAGGAGGCAGCTGATCGATGTTTCCCTCTCATCGATGTTTCTAACTCTCTATCCCTCTCCCTTCCTTTATGTAAAACAATCAATAAAATATATATTTTAAAAAAATAAAAGTAGCTATTTAAGCCCTCGCCAGTTTGGCTCAGTGGATAGAGCTTCGGCCTGCGGACTGAAAGGTCCCAGGTTCAATTCCGATCAAGGGCACATACCCGTAGCAGGCTTAATCCCTGGCCCTGGTTGGGGCGCATGTGGGAGGAGGCAACCAATGGATGTGCCTCTCTCACATCAATATTTCTGTCTCTTCCCCTCCTTTCTGCTCTCTCTAAAAATCAATGGAAAAATATCCTCAAGTAAGGATTAACAAAAAATAAAAAATAAAAGTAGCTATGTAAGCTCTGGCCGGTGTGTTCAGTAGTGTCAACCCGAGCACGAAGGGTTGCGGGTTTGATTCCCAGTCAAGGGCACGTACCTGGATTTTGGGCTTGTTTCCAGCCCCGGGAGGGTTCCTGGGGGAGGCAACCAATCGATGTGTCTCTCACCTCACTGTTTCTCTCTCCCCCAATCCCTCTCTTCCATTCTCTCTAAAAATCAATGGGAAAGTCTGGCTGGTGTGGCTCAGTGGTTGAGTGTTGACCCATGCACCAAGAGGTCGCCGGTTCTCCCTAGTATTCCCGGTCAGAGCACATGCCCAGGTTTCAGGCTCGATCCCCAGTGTGGGCTGTGCAGGAAGCAGCCAATTGATTTTCTCTCTCATTGATGTTTCTATCTCTCTCTGTCTCTTCGTCTCTTTCTAAAAATCAATAAAAACATATATTTTTAAAAATCAATGGGAAAAAAACATCCTCCAGTGAAGATTAACAACAACAACAACAAAAAGTAGCTATTTAAATTTACAATAATTAAAGTTAGTAATTGAGTTCTTCAATCACACTAGACACATTCTAAAGACTCAACAGACTCATATGACTGGTGGTTTTCGTATTGGACAGTGAAGAGAAAGTACATATACCTCAGAGAAAGTGCTACTAGGCAGTGTGGAGCTAGAATCTTTTTTTTTTAAATATATTTTATTGATTTTTTACAGAGAGGAAGGGAGAGAGATAGAGAGTTAGAAACATCGATGAGAGAGAAACACTGATCAGCTGCCTCCTGCACACCCCCTACTGGGGATGTGTCCGCAACCAAGGTACATGCCCTTGACTGGAATCGAACCCGCGACCCTTCAGTCCACAGGCCGATGCTCTATCCACTGAGCCAAACCGGTTAGGGCAGGAGCTAGAATCTTTAAGAGGGAAGGGAAGGCCCTGGCTGGTTTGGCTCAATGGATAGAGCATCGGCCTGCAGACAGAAGGGTCCCAGGTTCGATTCCGGTCAAGGGCACATGCCTGGGTTGCGGGCTTGATCCCCAGTAGGGGACATGCAGGAGGCAGCCAAGCAATGATTCTCCCTCATCATTGATGTTTCTCTCTTTCCCTCTCCCTTCCTCTCTGAAATCAATAGAGATATATTTAAAAAAATAAAACTAAAAACCTGGTCCACAAAGAAGGTACTCATGTGCAAAGGTCGTGGGCTAGGCCAGAGCAGGTGTTCATTGTCTTTGCTCCCCTCACCTCCCCAGAGTGAGTTCCACGGGGGAACAGCTGTCCCACTGCTGTGCCTGGTACATACGGGCGCTGATGCTGTGAACACTGAGTGTGAAGGCCAACGGGCTGGAATGGAGCGAGAGGTGGGTGATGGAGGCAGGGCGGGGGTGGGGCCGGATCAGGTGGGGCCATGTGGGCTATGTGTGTGGGGGGGAGTGTGGGGGGGCTTGGGCTTTTCTCTGGGCAGGTGGGAGATATGAGGGGGTTCTGAGCAGATCTGGCTGGCACTGAGATCACTCATCCACCTGCTCAGTGGGGAATAGATTTGGGGTGTGAGGGGCATGCAGAAGAGGGAGGGGTCAGGGAGAAAGCTGTCACACTTGTCCTTTTTAGTTCAGGTGTACCACAGACTCAGTACCCAGCTCGGTCCCTGTGCCCCCGGGGCTCCCGGGCGCTGGTCTGTACCTTCTCCGTCTGCTGCTGTAGGATCGGCAGGTTCTCTTCCAGCTTATCCAGCCCCCGATGGGCGTATTCACTGGCTGACGTGACTACAGGAGGTGGGACAAGACAGAAATACGGTTACTGCACATGAGCATCCCAAGGGGTCCCGGGAAGGTCAGCCACTGGTTTGGGGGAACAGGGCCATGGGTGGGGCAGACCCTCCCCAAACAGCCAGGAAGGGAGGTTCCATGTTCTCGGGGGGCCTCACTCACTCTGGGGCTCCAGCTTGGACAGGATGGGCTGGGCCCCACTGACGGCAGCCGCCGTGAGGGTCTTCACGCCTTTCTCGGCCGCGTCGCAGACGGTCTTGACGTGGGGGTGGCTCTCCTTGGTGGAGGTGTAGGCTGCCGACACCATGTTGCAGGTGGTGCTGATGAGGGGCATGTTGGCCACTCGGTCCACCACGCTGGGCTACGGGAGAAGCAGCTGAGGTGGGCCGGGCTGGGCGTGGGGAGGTGGGGGCGCTGGGCCCGAAACTCAGGCACCAGCACTTTCCCTCTCACTCACGGCCAAGGAAATGGCTCAGCTCACCCTGCAGTTTGCTCCACGAAGTTGCAGGAGCCGGGACCTTCCGGGCTGCACTATGAGCTCCTTTGTCTTAGCTCTGCGGCCCATTTGTTGGAACGGCCCATTTGTTGGAACGTGTCTCTGACACCCACTGTGCGCCAGGTAGTGACAAGAGACAAGACCCCTCCTCTCACAGAGCTTACGGTCGAAAGCTGGGTCTGCAAACTAGGCCCGCAGGCCAAGTCGCCCCACCACCTGATACTTTATTCTTGTCTGTTTTTTTCCCACTAGCTTTACTGAGATCAAGTTCACGCATCATAAATTTCACCGTTTTTAACGTGCACAATTCAGTGGTTTTTAGTAAACTCACAAGGTTGTACAATCATCACCACTCATTCTAGAACTTTTCCATCACCCCAAAAAGGTACCCTGTACCCATTAACAGCCACCCATTCTCCCCTCCCTCCAGCCCTGGCAACTACTAGCCTGCCTTCTGTCTCTATGACTTTGCCTATTCTGGACATTTTACATAAACAAAATCATATCCTCTGTGGCCTTTTGTATCTGACTTCTTTCACTGAGTGATGTTTTCGAGGTTCATCTATGACATAGATTCTACGTAGTAGCATAAATGAATGCTTCATTTTTTTAAATTGTGGGAAAATGTAGGCAACATTAAATTTATCATTTTAACCATTTTTAGGTGTATAATTCAGTAGCATTCACATTGTTGTACATTCAGGACACTCACATTGTTGCACAACCACCACCACCATCCGTCTCTAGAACTTTCTCATCCTCCCAAACTGAAACTCTGACCCCATTAAACACCAACTCCCCTCCCCCTGGCTCCCACCATCTACCTTCGGTCTCTGTGGACCTGGCCCCCGGGAACCTCCTGTAAGTGGAATCACACAGGGCTTGTCCTTTTTGTGTCTGGCTTACTTCCCTGAGCACATCTTTAAGGTTCATCCATGTTGCAGGACATGTCAGAACCGTATTCCTTTATATGGCGAAATACCATCCCACTGCTGCCTGGTTTTGTAAGTAAGTTTACTGGTGCACAGCCACGCCAGAAGAGGCAAATCCACAGAGAGAAAGCAGAGGAGCGGCTGCCAGGGGCTGGGGGGGAGTGACTATTAATGGGGATGGGATTTCCATTCGGGCTGATGAAGAAGTTCTGGGATTAGAGAGTGGGATGGCTGCACATTGTAAGTGTACTTAATGCCTCTGCACTGTGTGCTCTTTGAAATGGTTAAAATGGTATATTTTTATGTTAAGTGTATTTTACCACAGTTTTAAAAAAAGGAATGAAGCACTGACACACACCGCATGGGTGAACCCCTAAAACATCCCACTCAGTGAAAGAAGCCAGACGCAAAGGGTCTCGCAGAGACTGGAACCAGAGTGGTTGCCGAGGGGGAAGCGGGGTGGGATGGAGGGGTGACTACTACTGGGTATTGGGTCTCTTTTGGGCAAGATGAAAAATGTTCTAAAACAGTACAGGTGGTGATGGCTGCAGAACTTGATAGTTCACTAAAAGTCACTGAGTAGCACCCTTCAGAGGGTGAATTTAATGCTATGTAGGTGATACCGAAACAGTCAATTAAAAGGGGCTTTTATTTAAACTGGTGGGGGGAAGGAGGAGGACAGGGACTGACTTCCCGGAAGGGGGACCCTAAGAGAACCTCCAGAGGCAGAGAACATTTTCTGGGTGGTGGGGAGCCAGGCAGTTTCAAACTGTACCCCAGTTCTCCTCCCCCATCTGTTAGTGGGGCACCTGTTCGAGGTCTGTCGGCTGGCTGTCCCCACCCAGTCAGAAAGACCTCTCTTAACCCCCATGAGCCGCCAGCAGCGCCCTGGCTCCCTTCCACGGCACCATGATGTGGGAAGCCTCAGCCCACAGGTGCAGGCCGTCCTCACCTGCTGTACAGGTTCTTCAGCTGTCACCTGGGTGTCGGCAGGGGCTTCTGTCTCATTGGTAGACATTTCTCAGAAGCACGCACTGTGGACAGATGGACTAGTCAGGTACAGCCCGACCCACCCCTCCCTCCAGGAGGAAGTTCACACCTGCACGCTGAGAGCCCTGCCTTCCAATCATTAACGGGCACCTGTGGGCCTGCTCCGGCGCAGGCGATGACTCAGCAGGGTGAGAGCCTGCCGTCGAACAAGCTCCCGGTGCTGCTGACACAGCTGACCCAGGGCTATTCCTTGAAGGTCAGGGTGCAGCCCTCCGAGGGCTCACCTGTATCATTACTCCAGAGACACCCACGAAGCAGAACCTCTGTGGACGGCAATTTGCCAACAGCTACCAAGTTTCCAGAGGCATCTTCCCTTTGACCCAGAAACCTCACTGTGAGGACAGCCTCACACTTGTACTGCCACGTGGGCAGAGGCGGGTGTACCAGTGTTGTCCACAAGACACCGGTAACCTGTTTGCCCAGCAGAAGGGGACTAAAGAAAATACCAGATTAGCCCAGTGCCTGGGGAAAAAAAAGGGTATTTACAGCCAAAACCGGTTTGGCTCAGTGGATAGAGCGTCGGCCTGCGGACTGAAGGGTCCCAGGTTCGATTCCGGTCAAGGGCATGTATCTGGGTTGCAGGCACATCCCCAGTGGGAGATGTGCAGGAGGCAGCTGATCGATGTCTCTCTCTCATCGATGTTTCTGACTCTCTATCTCTCTCCCTTCCTCTCTGTAAAAAATCAATAAAAATATATTTTTTTTAAAAAAGGGTATTTACATATAATTGACATGGACCAAGATACTGCAAAGAGACAAAGGTTTGAATGGGATAAAAGTATTTACCTTGCATTTGTACAGGAATCTTTTTTTTTTTTTTTTAAGCATCACCCAGGGGGT